ATAGAAACGTTATATATCTCATACTCTTGGAGATAGAATTTATCTTTTCGAGCAATACAGAAGGTTTTCAGCATTTTTTATATGCAGTTTAGGAGTAGCATACAGAAAAAATAAATCTAAAAAAAGGGATTTGATTTAGAGTGAAGTTTTTTTATGAGCTTTAATGAAATTATTAATTATTGTGTCCTTAGATTGTTTAACAAGTTTAAATTTCTGTGTGCTATTAATTTCATTTATTATAAGTTGTGCATAGAATGTTTTACAAATAAAGCGGAAGTTGCAATATTTTTCATGCATTAATACAATTAACACTATTTTCGTACATAAATATAAAAGCTCTTATAATGGGTAAGGTTGGGAATTATACTAGTCAGATAATAAGGATGGGTTTTTATACTTTCATACCAACATAATAGTTTGCCTACTATACTAACAATATTAACTTATTAATTACAACTATATTTCTTTAGTGAGCAGCCACCTTCCCACAACTGTATGCAGATATTGGACGTTGTGGGCTGGAGTACAAACATCTCGCTCTTCTAATTTATTTTCCTTTCTTATTTATTTTGTTTGTTCTTCTTTCTTTAACATGTGAGACTAGCAAACGGATATTAAGACTGGTAGACGGGACATCCCCCCCCCCCAATCGCTATGTAGGTCCTATTTCCGTTGTCACCTCCAAAATCCAGGGCACATCTTGTATATCACATTATAGCCTGTGCTCTGGTGATATTTTTAATACATACAGTGTTTTTGTTGTAGTGTGTATGTGTGGTTATATAGGTCTACAATATAGTTAGGTTTGCTCTGACGACGTTTTTTTTTTACATTCTTTTATTGCAGGACCAACTTTGCTACAAATATTACATTACAATTCTCATTAATAGATATAATTAGGTTTCACTTGATAAATATGATTCCCTGTTTCTTAGTCTATTCGTTGCGCCCAAAATTACAACTAACTGCTGAACATAGTTGTGACACTTTAAATTTTTACTGTTGACATCACACTTACTCTACAAATATTGAAATTATCCATTTTTATTTTTTTCATTTCTTTTATTACAAGTTTTGAGTATTTTTAACATATATGCATCCAAACGCTTATAATATGATGAGTTTGAATTTTTCTTTAGATATTTCAAGTATCTTAAACATAATGCGTGTATCGTTCTAGGCTTTTCATCTAATTTTCTGCATAATGAGTTATCAAGGAAACTACACTCAGGCACCCCCACCTGCTGGATATTATCCGGGAAATACATACTATCCACCACCCCAACCTCAAGCTGGCGCTTACTACCCTCCTCCTCAACAGCAGGGTGGCTACTATCCTCCTCCCCAACCATCAGGAGAATATCTTCCCCAAGGACAACAACCCGTTCCTTCTACCGTGTGAGTATTGTTAGAAATTTCACTTACTTATGGTTTCTATGAATTTCAGTTTAAAGAAAACGCTATTTTTATTTTTTATGTAGAAAATTAAACAGTGTTTAATATAAAAAAAACAACAACAAGCTAATCAACATTTCGGTACAGAATCAAATCTATTGTTAATCATTTGTGTTCAAATTAATTTTATAAGGCTTGTTATACCTAACTGCAATGTACGACTAAAGGTTTTGCTTCATGTACTTAAGATGTATCAATACGTTATTCCTGTTATAATAGAACTGATTCAAAGTTGACCTCAGTTGATTCTAGGAATAATGTTTGAAAAATTAAGTTCATATGATCATATGGATGCCAGGCGGTTTACTAACAATTAGTTTTGCTTAGCTTTATTTATGAAATATTTTATGATGTAACATATTCTTTACCATGAGGAACTTCTACATAAACGATATGGCGATAAAATATGAATGTCAGTTTACTAAAAATGTCATTTTTAGATAATTATAGATTGAAAATAACTCTTATGTAAAGAAAAAATACATTGTAAAAGTAGAATTTCTTGAATTGCTGACATATATTGCAATATAGTCAAAAAATGTATTCTATTATTGCCGAAAGGGAGACTGGATTATCGTTAGTTATGAGGGCTATGAATTTGAATGCTTGTATTTTATTTTTCAGAATTGTGAGAGAAGAAAAAAAAGACACCTGTGGGAGAGACTGCTGTTTGTGTGCTTTGTGTCTTGCGCTGTGTTGTTTCTGTTGCAGTGACTAAAAATCCTCGGTTCCAAAAGTCGACGCCACTCTAGAGTTAACAAAAATATGTGTAATATATGAACAAAGTTTCAGGCATATGAAGTCTTGTGGAAATGAGGGAATGTGTCCTTCGTACATGCTAAAATTCATTTGGAGAATACAGATATTGTGATTTACACTATTCTGAACATTTTCGCTCAAGATTTTCTCAGACGTTTTTAGCCTTGAAAGAAGTGCGTAATATAGGCTTAATACCTTCTGAACTTATTACTGGTAGGATAGATAACCTGAAAATGTTTTCTGTTTAATTACACATTTTAGATACATTTGATGTTTTCTCGGTTATCCGTAGCTCTTGTATAAATTATCTCAATCTATCGTATTTTGAAAAATTGGACCACAGATCAACTGAAATGTTTATAATTTGTACAGCTATTGTTCATTTTTATACATTTGTAATTTGTTTAAACAATTTTAGAATAATGGTTTTTGATGTAGAATTATTGCGAGGTCAACATTGTACTGTGTTATTAACTTTTACATAATTAGTTTGAAAAATTAAAGCGATAAATCTTGAACTATAAAACTTAAGTTTCCAAAATTTAACGAGTATCAAACACGCGAAGAGTTTTTCGTTATTGTTTTCTATGGCCTACAAAAAAGAAAATAATTACGTTTGTATGTTTTAATGATAGAAATATAAAAACCAACATTTGAACAAGAGATTAACTGAATTTAGTTTTTAATACCATAGGAAGATATAAGGTTTTTTTTTGTAAGTCAAACGTAGAATTAATTTGGTAAAATATTTCAACTGTAGCAGTAGATGTGTATTCAAATTGTACTTATTTACTATGCGTTTAAAGTTTCGTTCATCCCATGATATTTATCGAAACTCACGCAATGTCATCAAGAAAGAAAAACACCTAGTGATCTGTTTGTACTATTTATCATTTCTTAACAACTCCTTCTATCTAGTTTACAGATATTGTTTTTCCTATTTAAATGCAAAGTATTAAAATGTAAACGTTTTATGAGAGAACGGTTTCGAAATAATGAAATAACTTTCAAATGATTAACTTATTTTTATATCGTATACTACCGGCAATATGGCTGTTAAAACACTTATTTGCAAAGAACTGATCACAAATATTGGGGGAAAATAATTCATTTTGTATGTAAAAGTCATAGGATGTCCCAGTAGTAATTATTGGAATTAATACAAAATTGGCGGTATTTTTATTTCAGTTTTTTATGACTTATTAGAGGCACTGTAGCACAAAAAAAAATTAATGAATTTCCAAGCAATTTGGTGCATAAATAGTTTAGGAAGATGTGTTTGAAAAATCAACGCGATCCACGTGAGTTATTTCGGTAATTCGGGCGTGATGGTATAGAAAAAACAAACGTCCCTAATTTAGCGGTGTAAGACTAGAGGGAAGCCAGTTAGTCATCACCACCCATCGCCAACTCTTGAGCTACTCTATTACCAACGAATAGCGGGATTGACCGTCAAATTATAACGCCCCCCATTGCTGAAAGGGCGAGCATGTTTGGTGTGACGGGGATTCGAACCCGCGACCCGCAGATTGCGAGTCAAGCGCCCTAACCACCTGGCCATGAGACATACAATTTATTTTGAATTTTAAAAACCATGGCTTGTCGAGAACCACATTTTGACATTTTATTGCCCTGTTAGGGTGATGTTATCACTTTCTATCTGCTCGTATAGGTTGGTGATAATATTATCCAAGCGAATTTTAAATGTAGTTAGCTTGCCGGACTTAGGAGATAGGTGCTGTGGTTCGCGTCCTGTTTCCACCAATAATCATAAAGCGCTCCTCATTTTGGGCTGTGGGTGCATTATAAGGGTCGCGGTCGAAACCCACTATCCGGCCAGATAACCGTAACCCAATAATTAACAGGTGTAGGATGGCTAGAGCGGATGGCCTTCATGAAGCTTTGCGTGAAATCCAACAAACAAAACCTCTTTCGAAAGTTAGAAGCTACGCATATTCTAGTTGGATTTAGCACTTTAATATTAGTTATCTATTTTTATTGTTTAACACAAAATGATACCATAGGATATCTGTGCTCTGCTCACCTCGGGTATCAAAACCATATTTTTTGTGTGTGTGCTAAGTTTAAGACTTATTGCTGAACCACCGAGGGGAGGGAACAAATTTTCTTTCTTATTAGGTAACTAAATTAAAAATATAAGTTACACACTGCTAGCTGAAGTATAATTAAAGCATTGTAGTTTTACCTGAAACTGCTAAAATTACTGGCTGGTAATGTTTTTTGTTTACCAAATACATGCTTATTGTTGCGTATCTGCTTGTTTGATAAATTTCGGTAGAAATTCTTTCCGAGGAACTTCAGCGATACAAGTCCTTTCTTGATTAAACCAGTTTATTCTTCCTCGATACAAACTTTTAGTACACAGTAATTCCACAGTCAATAAGTTTCTCGTCACTTTAAACTTAACAACTTTTATGATACAAGCTATAAATCACAGTGATTCACAAACTTTACTTACCGTCACTACTGTTCATTTCTTTAATTATCTATCTGTCGCTGGCCTCTCTGCCAGGCTTATATATTAACAAAGGGGGCGTCTCGAATGCACTCGGGCCTCCCCGATCATTCGAAAAATTTCACGTACGCTACCATCGCCAAACGGGCCAGCAGCGTAACGTGACTTCCGCTGTCGTAACTATATGTTTTTTATTCTAACTGGTAGCCTATAACTTGATATAAACGAGCATAAAGGTGTGCATATTCCTAATAAAATAAAAATTACGACTAAAACGATTTACTTTTCCAAATTTTGGCTAGAGATTTATTTAATTTTTTCTATTTAATATACACTACCATCTGACATGAAGAGTAAAAACGTTTTACGGTTGTTTTATTTTTTTTATCAATTGCGACTAAGTTTTGGTGTGCTGATAACTAGCAAGCTAAATTGATTAAAATTTCATAAAAAAATTAAACTAAACTTCTTAAGTTATAAAGATCCACTATTGAAAGATAATTAAAGTAAACGTTAATTTAATAATTATTTACTAATTTGCTACTCGATGGCAATAATGCAATTGACAAAATTTGCAAGTAATGTCATTTACTATTATTTAACCAATTTGTACAGGCTATGGCGTGTTTGCATTTATGAGAGTTAAATGGTACGCAAAATTTCAATAATATCAAACCTGTAAGGTTTGTACACATTAGAAGATCGAAATAAATCCGAAGACTTCGACTGTAATGTCATCCTATCATTAGACTTAAGGCTCAGTAATTATGGAAACGCACAAATAATACACATACAGGAGTTACAAACTTTTTTATTTGTTGCATTTTATTTAAATGGAGTAATACATCTTGCTTTCATGCTACAGTAAATGTATCAACGTATAATTGTGAAATATTTTCCCTAATGCTCTTTATTTCTCTTCACCATTCAGTTGAGTACTTTGGTTGCTATTTCCATATAAATCTAAAGAACCTTAAAAATATTCGTATTGGGACTTTTTAAGACCAAAACATCTTTGCGAGTGTTCCAGCAGCCTCTTCCTACTCCCAGGTATTGTTTCACCATAAGATGAGTCCCCGAGAAAACGGTATAATAGATGAGAATGTTATTGTACCTGATGGTAGTCAGGGTGTAATCAGATTTGTATGTCTCTTCAACACCATTGGCTGAGATGCACTTGTATTGGTTCTTCAGCATGTTTTATTGTTGACCCTGATACTGTTACGTCTCCGTTCGTTATTTAATTTTCCGTAAAAATTCTTTCCGATGAAACTTTAGCGACACCAGTCCTTTCTTAAATAAAATTGGTTTATTCTTTCTGAATACAACTTTGCGATACACTTAATTTCAACAGTCGCGCTATAACAAACACTATAATTCACAACGAACGTCTCACGTGCTCAACTCAACAATACTCTGTCCACAGTTCAGTAACATTGTTCCTGTCGCTTCTTGGCCGGTCTTATATATAAAAACTACCCCATATCTAGTAGTCTCCCAACGC